ATTGTATTTTGATTGCACTGCTTATGCTCACAAGAGATAAAAAAAGGATAACACAAACTATTCTTCACTGTTTACCAGGGTCACCATGGTGGTCTGGAATACCAATGATACTATGGAGCCTGTTTTTATTCTGAAGGGTTTTTCTGGACTGGAGTATGCTCATTCTTGGCTCTCAATTCTATTCTGCCTTGTATTCTTGGTAGCATTTATTGGTAATGTTACCATTCTTTCTGTCATTTGGATCGAATCTTCACTTCACCAGCCCATGTATTATTTCCTCTCCATCTTGGCGCTGAATGACCTAGGTATGTCACTCTCTACACTTCCCACTATACTTTCTGTGTTATGGTTGAATGCTCGGAAGATCCAGGCAAGTGCTTGCTATACCCAGCTCTTCTTCATCCATACATTCACATTCCTGGAATCCTCAGTGCTACTGGCCATGGCTTTCGACCGTTTTGTTGCTATCTGCCGTCCACTGCACTACACTACCATCCTCACCAACAGCGTAATAGGCAAGATTGCTTTGGCCTGCTTGTTAAGAAGCATGGGAGTTGTACTGCCCACACCTTTGCTACTTAGACGCTATCGCTACTGCCATGTCAATGTCCTCTCCCATCCCTTCTGTTTGCATCAGGATATTCTGAAATTATCCTGTTCAGATGCCAGGGTCAACAGTGTTTATGGGCTGTGTGTAGTTATTGCCACCCTGGGCATGGATTCCATCTTCATACTTCTGTCTTATGTCCTGATTCTGAAGGCTGTGCTGAGCATTGCGTCTCCTGAAGAGAGGCTAAAAGCACTCAACACCTGTGTATCCCACATCTGCGTGGTTCTCATCTTCTTTGTGCCAGTTATTGGCGTGTCAGTGGCCCATCGCTTTGGGAAGCATCTGTCTCCCATAGTTCACATCCTCATGGCTGACATCTACCTGATTCTCCCCCCAGTGCTTAACCCTATTGTCTACAGTATCAGGACAAAACAGATTCGTCTACGAATTCTTCACAAGTTTGGGCTAGGGAGGAGGCTTTAAAGTAAACGCTATCCTCCAGTGTTCCCACTAGAAAATTGTGGGACAGCTATTTGAGAAGTGAAATATTTGGGGATTAATTATCTGGTTAAATTCCTAAATCTCTCACTTCCTTGATATGTGATCTCAGTTAATAATGAGCCCTATGAGATTTAGGGTTTTCATAGCCAAATTGTGATAAGTATGGCCTTTTCTATCCCCAAGATAATTATGAGACTTTTAATAGACAATGTATGTAAAGGAGATTGTTTGGAAAACTGTAAAATTTGCTAATATTATTAAATTATTATTATTAATGACAATAATAGCAATAACTTTGTTTATGAAATGTAACCATGTTTATATTATTTCTCATGTTTATAATCAAAACCCAGAAATCATTCTGTCTCTCTCTCTCTCTTTTTCTAATACATTTGTTCATATTTTGTTTCTGCCAAAATGTTATAGCTTTTTATGAAAAGATTTCTAACTTCTTGAGGCATGTGGAACTTGAGTCCCTGGCAGGACTTTGAACTATGACTGTGGCTATTGGCTATGGACTAAGTTCTCACTTCGTGACTAGACAGTGATATCCTTTTTTTCCATTGCCACCATAGATCTATCTGCTCTTTCAACTTACCAGAAAATACTGAGGCAGAAACATGAGAGTTGCTCAAGAAAGCCTGGCATTGCATGTCTAAACATCTGGGCAAATATGTACATTCCTTGTTCAGTACTATAGCACAAGATTCCATGTCTTAATCTGTGGGTGGGTTGGGAGTTGTGTACAATAACAACCCTCATCTTTTAGTAATTATTTTTTCCTCTTTTTCTATATGTCTGTGTGGAGCTTTAATATCATTGTGCCTCTCTCAGTTTCTTTATTGTAGATAACCCATTACTTTTTTTCTTCTTCATTCATTCATTAAGATGACTTACAAATGTGCTTTTTTATTGGTGATATTTTATTATTTCATACATATTTACTTTCTGTTCAGCTGTATTGCAAACTTTTTGAGTATGGGGTCATGACTGCTATACTAACACATTACCACGGGGCTGGTTTCCTCTAGCTGTCATGAGTACTCATAAAATAGTGGTAACTGTCAATCCAATTGTCTGTTTATTCATCCAATGAAACTATACTGAGACACATGAAATACCTATCATAGCAATTATTGCTTTCAGTATGGAATGTATGGTCTTAATGTTAAAAAAAATCAATGTTTAATGGTGAGATACATATGCATAAAGATTGGTAAAATTAATAGATGCTATCATTGAAGTAGGGAAAAAGTACAACATTGTTATTAAAGAGTGNTAAGTCCTTGAGCTCAAGTCCACTGGCACCAAATTGAAATTCATGCACATCCAATTGCTTTAAATACATCCCACATAAATATAATTATAACCATATAGAGACCGCCTGATTGCATACCTCACAAAACTGCACCCAACTTCTGCTAGCTATAAATAATTATATTCTCTATATATTAATATAAATATATATATAATAATGCATTTATTTCTCTTAAAAATATATGTAAGTGTAGAATGTTTGGGTCATATGGTAACTGTATGCTTAACTTTTTGAGGAACTGCCATACTGCTTTCCAGAGTTGGCACACCATTTTAAAGTCCACCAGCACTGTACAAATGTTCAAATTTATCCAAATCCTTGCCAACACTTGTTACCATTTGTTCTTTTAATTTTAGTCAGCCCATAAGAGTGATATGGTATCTCATTGTGATTTTGATTTACCTTTCCCCAATGGTTAATAATTAGAGGATCTTTTACATCTTCATTGTTGAGTAAGGATTCTTTCTAAATTCTGGGTGCATATTCATTCATATGATTTGAACATATTTGCTTTCATTCTGTGGGTTGTCTGTTGATTGGTGTCCTTTGAACCAAACTTTTAAAAATTTTGATTAATTCCAAGTTTTGTAATTTTGTTTGTTTGTTTATACTTTTGGTGTAATACAAATCCATTTGCTGACCCACATTCACAAAGATTTACTCCTATGTTTCCTTCAAATAGTTTTAACTTTTTAGCTCTTCTATATAAGCTTATGATACATATGGATAATAATTTGTTTGTATGTGGTGTTAGGTAAGGTTCAAATTCATTCTTTTGCATGCCAATATATAATTGCCCTACTATAATTTTTAAAAAGAATACAATTTCTTAAAGGCTAAATATTAAATATATGCAAATGCATTTGTAGTATGGTGTTCTTGATTTGAACTTGTATTTATACAATTTTCAAATTCACATAGATGATGTATCTTAACAAAATATGCTATAGGAAATAGAGTCTGAAAAATTTTGTTTCCTTTCTATGTGTTGAGCATGGAAAAGCACTTTGAATATTTATGTCCTTATATTGATAAATATATATGGGATAAATATATTTTTATGTTTCCCTTGGTTTCTTACTTGTATGTGTCATGATATTACTCCTGCCCATCTTTTAAAAATGTCTTATTTTAGTCCTAAGAATTATTGTAGGATAACTGGAATCACAAGATTTCTATTGACCAAATGACTAAATAAATGGCTAAAGAAATACACATTTAAGCAAATTTATTTATACAGTTGCAGGAAAGCTCTTATTAGAGCTACACATTCCCTCACATACTGCAATGCAATGCCTCGGAAGTGGAAGCCTCCACCTTCTTCCTCATTGGGATCCCAGGGATGGAGCATGTTCACATTTGGGTCTCTATACCCATTTATCCTACGTACCTCATTGCCATCCTGGAGAACTCTACCATTCTTTTCCTAAAATCAGAGACCTCTCTGCATGAACCTCTGTACTATTTCCTCTCCATACTGGCCTTTGGTGACCCCTGACTGTACATNATTAGCTCAGTCAACAAAACCTATAAAACTTTATTTAAAAGGAAAATGAATATGAATATGGTATTATATGGTAAGGATTTGTAACAAATAATGAGATTTAATGAGGTTTGGGAGAATGGTGTTATCTTGGAAAACAGGAAATATGGGATTAGTGATTATTAATCTTTGAGAGGAAAGAATGAATATAGCAACTAATCATTTAAACTAAGTTTTATTGAATTAGATGGAAGTAAAAAAAAGGTGGAAAAATATCATCAGACAGATTACCAATTGGTTTTCTTGTTCATATTTTCCCTGGATTATTTCACCTTTTCAGAAAAAAATATTCTTAGTGATATTTCTTAACTAATAAGATACCAATAGAGCAAAATTAAAAAAAACCAAGCTCATTTGATACAATGTACATTTTAGAATGTCAACATGTTAAATTAATATATGAAATGCACCTTTTCTAATCTGGATGCATATTTCCAGAGGAATTAGAGTTTACTTTATGGAAGTAAATATACGTGGTAATCCAAGTCATGGTTAAAAGGCTGTCTGATACTCATGAGATCAGACCCAGAGAAATTAGCCTTATGGTTTAATTATTTAATGGCTATGGAATTTGATGTACCCATTGAATATAGTTGACAAGGTTTTGAAAGCAGTTTCAGATCAGGGCATAAAATACAGGGTCACAGAATTTGTAGACTGACAGAATACTAGGAGAAACTAATTTAATAACAAATCTGTATCAGAGGGACAGGGGATCAATTTTTGATTATTTGTTATTGAGTACTTAATATGTTCTAAGTGCTATACATATATTAACTCATTGAACATTTAAAAAACATAAGAGACAGATAGAATTATTATGAACTCATTGTACTTAAAGAAAACAGAGGCAAAAGTGCTCCCTAGGTTGCAGTCAGTTAAGTGTCAGAACTGGGATTCAAAGATAAGGACCTCTGAATCTACAGTTCATACTCTTTACTGTCATGGTTCTAGAGTCTATGCTCTTTGCCTTCATATTACCCTGAGACATAACACAGAATTTTGAGTCTTAGTTTAGTTTGATCTCCCCTGCCCCCAGCTTAAAAACAGGATTTCTTGACCTTGGCACTATTGACATTTAGACTGGATAATTATTTATTGTAGGGCCTGTTCTGCTCATTGTAAGATGTTTAGAAGCCCCCCTAACATCTGCAAACTAGATGCTGTTAACATTTCCCCAATTGTGACAACTGAAAATGTCCCCAGACATTGTCAAATATCCTGTTAGGAAATTTTTCTTCTTGTTGAGAATAACTGCCTTAAATTGAGGATTCTCTCAACTTCCACTTCCCAAAGGGGGTTCTGCTGAACACAAATTCCAGATGTTAATAAATGCTGTCTGGATAAAATATGTCTGGAAAATTCTGGGTTATACTACATTAATAGCTTTTCTCAATGCTGGATTTCTCTGAAACATTGGCATGCAGTATAGATGTTCACACACAATGGTATTGCAATGTGTAGTTTGTCCCAAACATAATGGACCTAGACTTACTTTGTTTAGCTATTAATTCTATTTGAATAGTAGCCTATTGTATATTTTAGGGAAATCTGGCATAGTAGTATAAAGAATTAACATTTTTGATCAGCTAATAACTGCTATCTCTGGTTTTTCAGAGCACGGACGTTTTCTTGTACATTGTTCTGGCTGACTAACCCAGATAGTTTTCTCCATCAGATGATCCCAGGGACATGTCCCTGTTGCTGCCAAATATGGGCTCCCAGACAGAATTTGGCATGATCATCTTTTCCCTTAGTAAGAGAAAAAGCTCCAGTGAAAGTGGCATAATTTTTCCTCCCTGGAGGCTTCATTAAGAAAACAAGAATGGTCTTGTGGGGATGGACTAATCAAGAGGTGGCAGAGTTTAGAGTTGGTTAAAGTACAGAAGATTAAGCACTTCGCTGGATAGAATCAAGGATTCTGAATGCAAAAATATTCTATCTTGGCTCCGGAATTGCTAAAGGGAGGTGGATGTCTCCTCACTCAGGAAATCTATGCTTTCTTGAAGAACTGCCTGCCTTAGGAACCACTGTTTTTTATGACCATCTTCAGTGACTCTCTCTACCTATGAGAAGTCTCTAGGCCTGGCTGACCAACCTGTAGCAGGTGATGGCTGTCTA